GCGGGTTCGGATCCTACATAGGGATGACCAGTGCACTCACAGCGCTCACTGGCTGAGCGCGGTGCGGCCGGTCTCAAAAACAAAAAAGGACAAAAAAAAATGGATAAGCAATATAAAATCCTGTAAAATGTGAATACAGCATGTTTAAATGGGAATTTATAGTCTTAAATACATAGGTTAGGGGAAAAAAAGAGGCTAAAAAAAAAGGAAAAATCAAGAAACTAAGCCTTCACAAGAAGCTAAAACAGAAAATAGCAAAACTAAAAACTAAAAACTAAAAACTAAGAATGTAGAAAAATGGAAATCAGGAGCAGAAATCAAAAAAACAAAAAGCAAATATAAAGAAAAAAGTAAAAAATCCAAAAGTTACATTCTTGAACAGGCTAATAATAAACTCCTAAGCAAGTAAGAATGATCAAAAAGGACAGAAGGCACATATTTCTAATATCAACAATGAAAAAAGGGGACATATTTATGCCAATAAACTTGAAAATTTAGATAAAATGGACAAAGCTCTTGCAAAATACAACTTGTTATATCTGAAACAAAAAGTTAGAAAATCTGAATAGTCCTTATCTATTAAAGAAATTGAATCTGTAATTCAAAACCATCTCATAAAGAAAAATCTAGGCCCACACGGCTTCAGCAGAGAATTCTACCAAACATTTAATTAAGAAATAATAACCAGTCTTAAACTCCTTCATACACTGCAAAAAAGAAACACTGCCCAACTTATTCTATGAAGCTAGCAAACCTTTATAGCAACACCTGATAAGACTATTATAAGAAAAGGAAAATTATATGTCCATCTCTTTCATGAACATAGACATAAAAATCCTAGACAAAATATTGGCAAATTGAATCCAATTTTATGTATGCATGTATGCATATGTGTATATGTATGTGTATATAATGAATATAACATGGCAACCTAGACGGGTTTATTCCAAGACTGCAAGGTTGCAAATCAATTACTACGATTTACCCAATAACAGAATAAAGGAAGAAAAAAATAGAAACATCTCAATTATTGCAGAAAAAAGCATGTGATAAAAACTTAGTCATTTAAGAGTAGAAAGATATCCTTAAAAAAGGGTCTATGAAAACATATAGTAATATCATACTTAAAGGTGAGTACTAACAGCTTTCCCCTGAGATCAGGGAATAGTCTTAATGTCTTTCTCTAACACATCCCATTTCTACATATATGAGTAACATGCTGAAAAATATTTATCTTCTCACCTGATTGGCTTGGCTTTGTAAATAGACTCTTCTGGCATTCAGATCTTCAAAGGGAGAAGGTCTTATATTTGAGCTTCTATAAGGCTCACTGGTAACAACTGTCTCTTGCTGGAAAAGGTGATCTTTCACTAGAGAACTGGAAGTATCTTCTTCGGGTGCCTAGTGGGAACAACCCTCAACTCATTAGGTGCCAGAATATTAAAAACAACAATCACAAAATAAGATACTTTCATGTTAACAAGTATTTAGCAAATTAATAAGCATGTACCACCATCATCACTATGCATGACAATTCCCAAAACTCAAATGTACATGATTAGAGACATGTAAAAAAAAAAAAAAAAAAAAAGTTATTTAAAAAAAAAAATCAACTTTATGAGTATCCCTGTTGAAAACAACTTAGAAAGAACTGAAAGGCTAACCATGCCATGTAGAAAAGACATCTAATTATAATACAGCTTTAACTAAAAGTGGCTTATATACACAGAAAATGAAGAAATTCTTAGGAAAAAACTACAAATCAATGTCTTCTTTTGCAAGTTTGTAAAAAAAATATGTACCAAGAACAGTACTGTTGATACAGTGGATCGAAAGAAGGAAGACGGTAGTAGTCCATGACCTTGTGGAATTGAGTGAATGAATAAATTAGCCTGAACTTGCTGATTACTTGGATTTCAATCATGCACAAGAGACTTAGGTTGGGGTATATGCTCAATCAATGACAAGTCACTAAAGACACTCTTTAAATGTCATAGACAATAATTTCTATGAAATAAGTGTTAAATAAGTGAAATTTAGCACACTACAAAACAGAAAATCCTGGAAGGGTTTTTTCATTTAGTTTCTTAAAGAAATGAGATAATCACTTGCTATTACCTTCCCAATTATTGTACAATAATTTGAAAAGAAATTATGACAGCCAAGTAACAAAGGATGAAATACTTACACTGGCTCATTCTAAAATTGAATTCAGAGTAATCACTATAGGACTAATGATTTTAAAGGTTCAAACCTTTATAAACTTTTAATTAAAAAAAGACAAATTTTTGTTAGCGGTACTTCTAAAATCAATCAATAAAATTCATAAAATGACTAAGATATTTTAAATTTATATATGCAAGTTCTAGTTCATGTTCTGGAACAAAGTGTCCTTCTGCCATTTAATTTCTTGGCACTCAGTTTTCTCAATTACAGAATAATAGTAACACCTATACAGTACTGTCTTATGATACTGGATTGTCATAAGGAATTAGTGAGATAATAATATAAGTAAAAGCATTTTGAAAACTAAAAGCTGTTATTGTACCAGGGAATAGGCAATTAAACTTTAAAAAATATATCTGAGAATCAATCACTTAAAGCTAACTATGTCAAAACCAGTTCACTGCTATTTTAACCTAATTTTCATAACAGTTCTAATGTGTTGTCACAGTTAATGCTAAAGTATTAGAAAGGAACGGACTAAACACTAGTATCCAACAAACATTCTTTCAAAATGCATAACTAGTATCCAACAAACATTCTTTCAAAATGCAAAATGAGTAAAAAAATTCAAGAAGTATTTTTATCGGTCCCAGAGATTTCTGAAAATAAATGACTCAAGGAATTGTCAGAAATCATTAAGTAAACTGAATAGAAAACAAAACAAAACAAAACAAAAAACATCGAGGGAGGAAAAAAAAAGGTTGAGAGAAAGAGCCTAGCTTAGAATTTTGTCTCATCCAATTAGAGTATAAAATATAATCAGCTAACTTCCCCAAATGAGTTTCTTTTTATTATAAATAAATTGGGTATAATATCTGTGTAGACAATCTTAGGGTTAGTTGGGATACTCAAGAGATTAAAAACTATAAACAAGCATAAATTATAGTATGAGTATCAGTGAGAATGATAAAATAATTTTTTTAATGCAGATGATTTTTTGATTAGGTTGTCTTTTATTGAATTACAATCTAATTGAGATGTCATTTAAGAATTACAAACTAAAATAAAGTTTTCTTTAAAAAATCTGTATCTGAATAAACAAAATGGTTATATAATCCAGTGTTTTATTATACTGACTTGGGTTATTCTATTTATATTCTGTACATTTACAATAACATTTTACTTTAAGAATAAATACATTTATTTATTTTTAAAGGGAAATATCCAAAGTGTTTGTTGTTTCGTTATTAAACAAGTAAAAATGTGCATAACATTTGGGTAGCAAATGGTTTTAAAATGTTTACCAAAATAGATGGAATTAACAGCGAATTTATAATTACACACATAAATGTGTCTCAACTAATAAAATAACGAAAGTTCAGGTATCTAATATGACAAACAAAGCAAAATACTGTTTGAAAACAGAGTTATAAAATCTATAATAATGTACATGTTATTCATGAATTTTGAGAATCAAATTAATATGTCAGAGAATCCTAAATTAGAAAAATTTTATTTTCCTACTATTTAATTATATCTCTTCAAGCAAGTTAAAAATTGAGATGCATATCAAATTGACAGAGTTAAAAGTGGTGATAAGGAAAACGGGCATTCTTATTTATTGCTAATTCTACACACACAGGAGTAAAACCTGAAACAGTCACTTCTGAAAAGCAATCTCAAGTAAAATGTATCGAAAAGCTTTTAAAACATTCACACATTTTAACCACTTCTTGAATTTAGCCAAAAACAAACAAACACAAAACAAAGTACTAAAATGAAAGGAAGAAGCTTTATGCACAACATATTTTTCTCAAACTTATTTTTAATAGTATAAAGCAAGAAACAACTTAAATGTGCCATAATAAGGGAATATAAGTAAATTATGGTACACCCATGAAATGAAATATTGTGTGGTCATTTAAATTAAGGTTTATTAATAATACCCACTATGTGGAAAATATTTAGTGTTAAAAGTCAGAATATAAAATTTTATTTACAGTATTATCATAATCATAAAAAGATAAAAGATTGGAAGAACATAAAATGGATGTTAACACCATCTTTGATGGTATGATTATGTGTAATTTCCAATTTTTCTGAGTTTTGCTTTTTTATACAGTTAATTAAAAATAAAAATCTATGTGTATACTTTCCCTGTTACTTTTGATATAAAATCATATTTTAAAATACAACAGAAAAATACTCTATCAATGAATTGGTCACTTGTTTTTTGTCTTACATACATTTTTTCCCTCTTCATTCGAAATAATGAACCGAGACATTCTACACCCTTGCCCAAAACTCTCTGGATTCATGCACAATCTCTTTATGTTAATAAAATAATTTTATACACAAGTTAACATTTTGAGTATCTTTCAAATCTATTTTCTCTTCTCAATACCCACAATTCAGTGCCTTAATGCAAGCACTCATTATCTTTTATTTTGTCTGTCTTATTGAGTAGGTTTTCTAACTGACTTCCTTGCTTTTAACCTTTGTCCTGTTATTCTTCATGCAAATCTCCTAGTTTTTCTACTCAAAACACTTCTAAGGTTTTCAATTACCAAAGCTGTGTTGGGGCACTAACCACATTCTGGAGAGGAGAGGGAAGAGGATCTGTATTGCTTGAGGAACGCTTTCATAAATATATAATTTACACAGTCCATAGGAATGGGCCTTCTTTCCCCGGGAAACACTGACTTAAGAAGACCAAGTTCAATTTTATTTCATAAAAAAATGGACAATAAACATATGAGAACATGCTGAACTTCATTCAACTAAAGACAAAAATATAATGCCATAATGCTATTATTTTATACTAACTAGGAAACAGATAAAAGATGGATAATGACACAGTGTTGGCAAGGGTCTGGAGAAATAAGAACACTTTTTGCACTGTTGGTGAAAATGCAGTTTGACAATGCCACTGGAAGGAAAAATCCATTACCTTTTGACTCAGCAATTCTACTTTGAGAAATTGACTATATATAGATACACACACTTTCTCTCTGTCTCTCTCTTTCCCTCTCTCTCTCTCTCACAGTAGCACTGCTTAAAAAAAGAAAAAGAAAACAAGGAAGAAAATATTTCATGACTATTAGTAGAGGAGTGGTTAAAAATTATGACATACATATACGATGGAATTCTATGTAGCAATTAAAAAGATCTGCATAGAGTACTCACAAGATACTATTAAATGAAAAAAGCTAGGTACAGAACAGTCAGTATGGCATGATCCCATCTGTCGGATTGGTAGGAGGATGGATAGATGAATAAATTTATGTTTATATTTTAAAAATACCAGGAATGATACACACCAAACAGTTCTGGGAAATTTTGACAGTTCTGGTGAACTGAGGCTAGAACAAGGGATTCAAGGATTTTTTTCCCCCTAAGGAAATATTGTATATACATAAACAACGACATACATAATGATATAAAGAATAATAAAATGAATATATATGTACTTGTCACCCAACTTAAAAAAGTGAATATAATCAACACAACTAATAACTCCATTGTGTTTCTTCTTGTTTATTTTTAACATCCCCCATCTCTACCATTTGGATCCTCCACAGGTAAACACTATCTTGAAGTCATTATTTTTCATTTTCTTACTCTTCTTTAGAGTTTTACCATACAAGCATAATCCTTAAACAATATTTAGTTATGGATGCTTTTGAGCTTTATTTTACTGATATCATACTATGTGGGACAATCTGAGACTTACTCTTTTTGCTCAATTTTGGGGTGAAATTTATTCACGTTCATTTGTATAGCAAGGACTCAGTTATTCTCACCTCTGTGTAGCAATGATAGCTAACACATATTAATCATTTTCTGTGTATCAGACATTGTCCCCAAAAGTACTTTACATGGGTTAATTTATTTAATCTCAACAACAATCCTTTGAGGTAGATAGTAGTATTATCTTCCCTACTCCATGTAAAGAAACTAAAGCTCAAAGGAATTAAGTAACTTTCCTGAAATGAAACAGTTACTTAAAGTGTCTGAGCCAGGACAGACATTACAATGTATCCATCCGTTCTCTATGGATGTTTGAGTTGTTCCAATTTTTTGCTATTTCAAAAAATGTGCTATGAACAATTTTGTATAGGCTGCATGGTACACAGGTACAAGAGTTTCTCTCACATATATCCAGGAGTGGGAATGCTGGTTTACAGGATATACATACGTTCCAGTTTATGTAATAATAAAGATTATTTTCCAAA